GAAAGAAATCAACAGTGTGTGTACAAATACTCAACTCTATGACACAGTTGTGCTCGCAACAAAGGGCTCTGCAATAATACTAACGTCTAGAGGTGGACAAACAACCATAACTTTCCCCTGGAGTTTAGAGCCCGTGAACGCAAATAAGTTTAAAGTCAAGAAGAAGAAGAAAAAGAAGAAGAAGAAGAAGAAGAAGAAGAAGAAGAAGAAGAAGAAGAAGAAGAAGAAGAAGAAGAAGAAGAAGAAGAAGAAGAAGAAGAAGAAGAAGAAGAAGAAGAAGAAAAAAAAAAGAAGAAGAAGAAGAAGAAGAAGAAGAAGAAGAAGAAGAAGAAGAAGAAGAAGAAGAAGAAGAAGAAGAAGAAGAAGAAGAAGAAGAAGAAGAAGAAGAAGAAGAAGAAGAAGAAGAAGATTCTGACTCGTTTTCTTCTCTCGATTTTGTTTTTTAAATTATGCGGGAATTCTCCTTCACAATTATGATGATGTTATTTTGCTTTTGCTTCGACTAATTCTACTATTGCTGATGTTGCTGTTCGTATTCATTTAGCGACTTCCATCATTTCTTCTGTTATAACAACACAAACACTACCATGGCGACTATTATCAGCAACACTAATAACTGCTATTACCATCTCTCCCCCTCCAGCATCACTTCCTCCCCACCTCCTCCTAATCGTACAACAACAACAACAACTACTACTACTATACTACAACTACTACTACTACTAATACTACTACTACTTCTACTTCTACTACTATACTACAACACTTTGTAGTGTTGCTGCTACTACTACCACCATCACAAGCACCAGCACTAGCTACTTCTGCTGCAACTACTACTACTACCACTACTACCACCACCGCCACCACCACTACCACTTTACTTTTTTTCTCTTGTTTTTGTTCTTCTTTTTCTTCTTCCGCTTATTCCTTTTCTTCCTCTGAGCTACCCTCACCTCCTGTGTTGTATCTGTTATCAGCCAGTCTGAAAACATTGACATGTCATACTAAAAGATGGAGAAAAGTCTAGGATAATTGCAAACTTAAATTTAACACGGGAGAATAAAATAACGACAACGGAGAAAAAAAATGTAAAGTACTAATTAGAAGCGTAAATTATATAGATAATTATCTAGGGAGAAGACATAAGCTTGTATGATGTACAGCAGTGATTCCCAAACTGTGCGTCTCGGCGCACCGGGCACCCGCGACTTCTTCACAGGGGCGCTGTGACACATTAGAAGATAAGCAAGTTTTTGTTTTCTACTGTCTTAAGAAAATGCATACTTTTACTTAGGTTAGCGCGACGTGACAATATTTTTTAATGGCAAAAAGGCGCGTCGACTAAGACAAATTTTGGGAGACACTGATGTACAGGTTTCTTTCCTGAGGCGTTAATTACCTGCGCTAAACTTCCGTTAAATACCAACGTTGTTACATGTAATAAAAAATAAACATAATAATAGTTTCAAGTCCATTTCTGTCCCAGTGGCTGCTTCATCTGCTATGAGAATTTCTTGCAAGGATATTAAAATGTGCCTTCCTGCACTCTGTCAGTGCATATGTTCTTCTCTCTGTCTCCGTTTCCGTAATGAGTTGTAGGAGCAGGAGGAGAAATTCTAATAGCGGTATTTAAAATCTAAAAGAGAAAGTAAAGTAGAACAAGACTAAGAAAGGAACAAAAAAAAAAAATGAAGAGGGGAAAAAAGAAAAGAAAGAATAACGACAACCCCTTTGCAAATCATTTAGGGCAGAGGGGGGGGGGAGGGGTGGTGAATCAGTGTTGCTTATACTTCTAAACATTTTTCAGAAACGGGAGGGCAGTAGTGGGAGTATAAAGGTGCAGGTTGGGGCTCAAAGTTCACAGAGGTCATGGGTCAGGGCTCAATGTGCAGAAGGGCTCAAAGTGTGGGGGAGCCTAAAGATAAAAAAAAAGGGGGGGGGGGGCGGGATGCCAAAATGCCTAAATGGGGAAGGGGGGGGGGGGCAGCCCAAAGTGCGGAGATGCGAGTACCCAAAGTACGGAGATGAGAGAGTTGGCGCCCAAGATACAGGGCCTTAATGTGCAAAGTTTTTTTTTTGGGGGGGGGGGGGGGGGGGGGGGACGGTTGCGCTCCCTGGCGGAGCCGGACTTTTTTAAAAAATGACCTTGGCTCCCAGTTCGACCCAGTCTTGAGTAGTTACCGGGTGTAGTCCCGGGAAGTAGAGGCGGCCGGCATGCTGCTGACCACATCACCCATCTTGTGCCGATTGGTCTATAAAAATATAGGTCTAGCCCTATATGCCCTATACGCCTAAGGCGTTGAAGAGGGTCCTTTACTTTACTATTTTATTTCTAATATATTGTTTCATTTAATTGCCATTCAGTACATAATAATATTAATATTTATTTTTATTATTGTTGATTACTCTTATTTTTCTTGTAAACTCTGGTAGAAAGTTCTGCTTATTTGTCCATTTCTTTACGTGCATATTCCATTTACAGATCTGACATATGTATACAGAGTGAGGAATTTCTTACTACTCCGACTTCGAATGAAGCGAGGAGAGGGGAAGTCCCAAATTGTGCGCATGTTACATTAATGTTTAGCACTTGTTCCAGTAGCATCGTAGTGTCGCTTGTGATCACACATTTTCTCAAACGTGTGTTATATTGTGATATATGCACATGAATCCTCCAGGCCAACAAGATGATCTATCTGAAGAATTTAAGTTCATCAAGATACAGTTTCTGCCTCCCAACACCACTCCGTTACTCCAGCCCATGGACCAGCAAGTTATTTCCAACTTTAAGAAGCTCTACACTAAAGCACTCTTCGAGCACTGTTTTCAGGTGACTGAAGGAACCAGCCTCACTCTCAAAGAGTTTTGCAAAAATCACTTCCACATCATTGGCTGCCTCAAGATCGACAAGGCGGGGAAGGGTTTACCAAGAGAACCCTAACTTCTGCTTAGAATAAGCTTTAGCCGGAGAGCTTTGTCGATTTGTGAGTTTGAGGGGTTCGTGACAGTACCTGTGGAACCTGTAGTCAACGAGATTGTGTCTCTGTCCCCTATCATGGGATTGTAGGTGGATAACAGTGATATCGAAGAGCTTGTGGAAGAGCACAGTCAAGAGCTGACGACCCAAGAGCTTATGGAATTGCATTGTGTTTCACAACAAACAGTTTTGGAGGAAAGTTTGTCAGAGGAGGAGGAGGAGGTAACAGAAAAGCAACAATCTTCTGGCGAAGAAATAGAAATGCTAAAAGCATGGCAAACGTTTGCATCTTACATTGAGAAGCCTCACCCTAATAAGCAAGTGGCTATACGCGTTGCAAATTTTTTTAATAATAATGCTGTGTCGCATTTTCGCCAAATTTTGAATCGTCGGCAAAAACAATTGTCTCTGGACATCTTTCTAGTAAAAAACATAATTATTTATGTATCATAATTATTTCGACTTAAATTTTCTGCAAATCAAATTCACATTCCAGGTGGGTTCGTTCCGCGTTTGAAGAAAAGATGAAGATGATTCACTCTCCTCAACAATATGCATATAATTTTCTTTGAATAAACGTTATACATAGCATTTTGTGAGTATTTTTTTTTAACATGGAACGCATTATCGTATTTTACATTAATTTATATAAGAAAAATTGTTTCGCATAACGAGTGTTTCGCTTAACGAGTATGATTATGGAACTAATTATGCTCGTTAAGCGAGGTTCCACTGTACTTTCAATCGACTCCAATATAGATGATTCTCCATGCCATACTGTCTAGCATCTCTTCTCTCGATTTTCCTCTGCCTGTCCTCCAACTGTCCACTGTCATATTTACTCTAGTTTTCTCCTTTTGATTACATGACCAAAGTAATATAGATTGTCTTTTTCTGATGTAGGCAATCATTTCTGCTAAGGCCCCGAGTTACAATTGCCGTATAAAAGAGGAATGGTTGGAAGGGACTGCGTGCCCAGTTTACAACCCTTTAACAGAAAAAAAAGTCATTTCGTTTGTACGTGCGTCAGCCTTTGCCGACATCCACCATATAGCCCCACCAGCAACAACACACCGTGTTCACTTGGTTCACCATCAACAGAGATTATGAAACTCAGTCCGAAGGACCCACTGCAAACAAAATGACGCCGTTATTTACCTAGGATAATATATCTGGTATTTCCTGCGACTAGGTTGAAGGTCAATATGTACGCAGCGCCGGGACACTGTGCTGGTTTGTTAAAAGCAAATACACATTTCTCTTATCAAGTTCTTTGCTAGCATCCTTCAACATACTACTAGCTGGTAGTTATCGCCCAATGTCGCAGAGCAAAATCGTAATCGTCAACTCTAAACATTAGGTGTTGTTAACACCAGCTAATTACTTATATTATCAAGTAACTACGGGTGGTATGACAGAACACTCACAGCGACGTCTTGTCGTGGCTCACATCAAACAGAGAAAGGAGGAGGTGAAGAATGATCGCTGATAGCCGTCCAAGAATTGTTTGTTTTTCTTATATTCGACCGTATAGCTGTGGTCACGCGCTTTATCACTGACCCCTTTTAGCGGCCATGGAAAGAACAACAGTGCGAATCGTGTCGGCGATGTGGACGAACGAGAGAAATAACAGTATGGAGGTATCAAACGAGTGAATTTCCGCGCCGAGGGATTCGGAAAATGCATCCGTCCGAAAAGAACGCGGACGGGAACGAAAAGGAGTTGCGCTGAGGCCGCTGGAATAGTTCGGCGCCCGCCTCGCCGTACTGCGCTGTGACTGTCTACGGAGAAAACTTGGAAATAGTAGTAGAGACCAGGCTATGAATGATATTCAGTCGCAGTCCAGCGTTTGACGCGAAACCAATAAGCCAGGCATGTTAGGGATTAATGTTTGAGAATGACAGAAAATGCTCTTGTATATTTTTCTTGAAATTCATTTGCTCTTGAGCACTTTATAATCCATGGATATTAGGTGCGTTACTGGATGTGAATTTGGTGAGATGTTTTATCGGCTCGGTCCGTCATGGGATGTGGTGTAGGAATGTATTCAGGAGGTAAACTAGTTGGGGTGGTGTTTCTTGTGGTTGTATTCAGTAGCCAGGTACACACAACATTCACCTGTCCTGGTGGGTGTTTCTGCGCGCCGCACAGCAAAAATGTGCAATGTGCAAACAAGAATTTTCTCAAAATTCCCGACGGAATTCCTTCGGAAACTTTAGAGCTTAATCTGAATGAAAATAAGTTTAAAAATACCGGATTGATTAGGCGGAATTTCACGGATCTTTATAATCTTCAGAATTTATATTTGAGTGATTGTGGTATTGAAACTATCGCTGTTGACACATTCGCTGATCTTGTACAGTTAACTTGGTTAGACATTAGCAAGAACAACATCCGGTTTCTCGCCAGACTTTACCTTCAGAGGCCTTCATTTAAAACATCTCTTTATCAACGATAATCTCGGTATTCAAATTTCCATTGGTGCTTTTGCAGGCATGACCACTCAGGGATTATACATGAACAACTGCGGATTACGCCGAATTCCAGTGGATCTCATGTCACCACTTAATGGCTCCTTGAAAACACTTTGGCTTCATGGAAACAACTTTGAGGCTTTTAACGAGAAATGGTTCTACTTCTTCAGAAAGTTGGCTCACGTGCGTCTGGGTGGGAACTCATTCCATTGTAACTGTGAGATCCATTGGCTGTATGCCTTCTATAAGAGCTCGAAACTGTCTTTATTCGCGGGTGCCGAACAGCCGCAGTGTGAGAGTCCCCGGTTGGTAAGAGGTAAGAATTTCGACGATTTAACTGATGAAGACTTTCGATGTGAGCTGCCCACATTTCAAAATGTGGATGCAGTCTTCGACACAAAAATTGGTAAGCTCACCTGTCAGGCCAGAGGAGACCCAGCCCCTACCCTTTACTGGATCCGACCCGATGGAACTACCGAGACATTCTACCCCAGAAATGATCTGGACAGTCGGGAGAACATCGGGTTGATGTTTATGACGGATGTGAAGCTGGAGAACAAGGAAGTCTACAAGTGTGTGGCTAGCAACCCAGCCGGCAATGTAACGTTCTCTCTCAACGTTGTTTGGCCTGACTTAAAATCACTACAGCCACCTACGCCAAAGACCATCAGTAAACCAACAAAGGGCAGCAGTAACAGTAACAGTATTGTCATCAGAGACGACGCCACAAGTCCTCCTTCAAAAGCACTGTACAAAAACTACGCAGGCGATGACTCTCAAGTTTACGACTGGAATGGAAACTCTGAGAGCAGTAAAATGCGTCCATCAGATAAAAATTCAGTGTTGTTAGACAAGAAGCCTGATAGTACACAGTTCGGGGTAGTGGACATAGTTGGTGCAGTAGTCTGGTACCTTTTTATTAACACTTATTCTCACTGTAACTGTTTTCCACCTGTGCTATCGCAGAAGAGACTGCTTCCGGCAGGACGATCACTACTCTGTGCCTGATGAGATTAATAATAAACGAAGCCCTCATGGAGTCTACATCATGAAAGAGACGGAGGAGAATCGTATCAAAATGATCAACCACAATAACAGCCACGAATGTCCCAGCTGAGGACAGCCAAAACTGGCATGAGAAGACTGTTTCCACAATGACTGGCAAATTGGTTTAACCTACAGTTGAGCGGTGAAAAGCTTATTTTGTGTGTCGCCCCTTTCCAACTAAACTGATAATGAGGCCAACGTCAGTGAACACTAAAAACGTCTTCATAATGGCCTCTTCACAAACATTATTATCTTTGTTGAATTGTTTCAAACATATTTTGTGATTGAACTTCTTATTTCTATATTGTACTCAAATTCATTATGATCTGTTAGTCTTCTTATAATTTGTACCGAATGCGAGGAATTCAAGGAATTACAGCTGTGTGGATGTAACAGACCTATTTTCAATGCTGTTATTAATAAATGGATATTATTATTTCGGGATGCAGTTTATTCGTTGTGGGAACTCTGGATAAGACAACGACTCATGGTCCAGGGAGGCAGAAACGTGAGAAGGTAAAACCTGTGTTTTGCAAGCGTGTGTTACTGGAGATGGGTGTTTGTGATAATATAAAGATAGGTGTAAGCATATGTGTGTAGACTGTTGTGTAAACACAGATGGCAGCCTGATACGGCACGTATCCTGGTAGCGCGAGCGAAATTGCACAGGTTCGCAGCCAGTGCTGTTAGAGGTGTGTTGGTGCCAGATTGTGAGTGCTGTTAGAAGTGTGTTGGTGCCAGAGTGTGAGTGCTGTTAGAAGTGTGTTGGTGCCAGAGTGTGAGTGCTGTTAGATGTGTGTTGGTGCCAGAGTGTGAGTGCTGTTAGAGGTATGTTGGTGCCAGAGTTTGAGTGCTGTTAGAGGTGTGTTAGTGTCAGAGGGTGAGTGCTGTTAGAGGTGTGTTAGTGTCAGAGTCTGAGTGCTATTAGAGGTGTGTTAGTGTCAGAGTATGAGTGCTGTTAGAGGTGTGTTAGTGTCAGAGTCTGAGTGCTGTTAGAGGTGTGTTAGTGCCAGAGGGTGAGTGCTGTTAGAGGTTTGTTGGTGCCAGAGTGTGAGTGCTGTTAGATGTGTGTTAGTGCCAGAGAGTGAGTGCTGTTAGAGGTTTGTTGGTGCCAGAGTATGAGTGCTGTTAGAGGTGTGTTAGTGTCAGAGTATGAGTGCTATTAGAGGTGTGTTAGTGTCAGAGTATGAGTGCTGTTAGAGGTGTGTTAGTGTCAGAGTGTGAGTGCTGTTAGAGGTGTGTTGGTGCCAGAGTTTGAGTGCTGTTAGAGGTGTGTTGGTGCCAGAGTGTGAGTGCTGTTAGAGGTGTGTTGGTGCCAGAGTTTAAGTGCTGTTAGAGGCGTGTGTGCAGCGTGTTGAGGGATCTAGAGAACAACAGTAGAAGCTATGAGGGAAGTGAGAAATGAATGTTTGGGGTGGAGAATGGAAGGATGAATATGATCTTTCACAGAAGTGTCCTCTCTCTCTCTTTATCTCTCTCTCTCTCTCTCTCTCTCCCTCTCTCTCTCTCTCTCTCTCTCTCTCTCTCTCTCTCTCTCTCTCTCTCTCTCTCTCTCTCTCCCTGTCTCTTTCTATCTGGCTTGCCAAGGAAATATGAAGCATTTGTCTGTAAAACCACATCTCTGAGGTCTCAAGAAATGTTTATCTTGTCTGTTAATAGTCTAAGATTCACTGCCATGTGTTAAAACTGGATCTGTATAGCACGCGTGAAGTAAACATAGATCTAAGAACTGAAGTGGACATTGCTCTAAGAACTGAAGTGGACATTGTTCTAAGAACAGAAGTGGACATAGCTCTAAGAACTGAAGTGGACATTGCTCTAAGAACAGAAGCGGACATTGCTCTAAGAGCAGAAGTGGACATAGCTCTAAGAACTGAAGTGGACATTGCTCTAAGAACAGAAGTGGACATTGCTCTAAGAACAGAAGTGGACATAGCTCTAAGAACTGAAGTGGACATTGCTCTAAGAACTGAAGTGGACATTGTTCTAAGAACAGAAGTGGACATTGCTCTAAGAACAGACGTTGTCATAGCTCTAAGAACAGAAGTGGACATAGCTCTAAGAACTGAAGTGGACATTGCTCTAAGAACAGAAGTGGACATTGCTCTAAGAAGTTCTAAGAACAGAAGTGGACATTGCTCTAAGAACAGAAGTGGACATTGCTCTAAGAACAGAAGTGGACATAGATACAAGCATGTAAGTCAACATAGGTCTAAGAACAGAAGTGGACATAGCTCTAAGAACAGAAGTGGACATAGCTCTAAGAACAGAAGTGGACAAAGATCTAAGAACTTAAGTGGACATAGTTACAAGCATATAAGTCAACATAGGTCTAAGCAAAGACGGAGCTATAAATCTAAGAACAACAAAGCTATAACATAGAATCTAACATAGCTTTTAGAAGTGAGACACATAGCTCTAAGAACAGAAGTGAACATAGCCATAGATCTAATCAACATAGCTGTAAGCACATAAATCAACATAGCTGTAAGCACAGAAATGGACATAGCTATAAGAAACAGAAGTGGACAGAATAGATCTAAGAACAGATAGCTCTAACATAGCTCAAAAAAAAAAAAAAAAGAACAGAAGCTCTAAGAACAGAAGTGGACATAGCTCTAAGAACAGAGGTGGACACAGCTCCAAGAACAGAAGTGGATAAATAGCTCTGCTTTAAACAGAAGTGGACATAGATCCAGAAGAACAGCTAAGAGGACATAGCTCTAAGAACAGAAGTGGACATAGCTCCAAGAACAGAAGAGGACATAGCGCTAAGTAAAACAGAAGTTGACATAGCTCTAAGAACAGAAGTAGAAATCAACATAGTTATAAGAACAGATAGCTGGCACATAAAGATCTAAGAACATCAACAAGTGGACATAAATAGATAGCTAAGCACATAAACAGAAGTGGCACATAGATCTATAGGCGCAGAAGCCAACATAGCTGTATGCACAGAAATCAACATAGCTGTATGCACAGAAATCAACATAGCTGTATGCACATAAATCAACATAGCTGTAAGCACATAAATCAACATAGCTGTATGCACATAAATCAACATAGCTGTAAGCACATAAATCAACATAGTGGAGATAGCTCTAAGTAGGCGCAGAAGTGGACATAGATCTATGCACAGAATCAAGAAGTGGACATAGATCTATGGCTGAACAGAAGTCAACATAGCTCTAAGCACAGAAATCAACATAGCTCTAAGAACAGAAGTGGACATAGATCTAGGAACAGAAGTGGACATAGATCTAAGAACAGAAGTGGACATAGATCTAAGAACAGAAGTGGACATAGATCTAAGAACAGAAGTGGACATAGCTCTAAGAACAGAAGTGGACATAGATCTAAAAACAGAAGTGGACATAGATCTAAGAACAGAAGTTGACATAGATCCAAGAACAGAAGTGGACATAGATCTAAGAACAGAAGTGGACATAGCTCTACGAACAGAAGTGGACATAGCTCTAAGTACAGAAGTCAACACAGCTCTAAGCACAGAAGTCAACACAGCTCTAATCACAGAAGTCAACACAGCTCTAATCACAGAAGTCAACACAGCTCTAATCACAGAAGTCAACACAGCTCTAATCACAGAAGTCAACATAGCTATATGCTTGGAAGTGAACACAACTCGCACAGCTTCGTTAGTGTCAAGTAGACAGTAAAAACAGACTTGCGCCCACAGTTGAACATGGATGACATTAGTAGATGCTTGCTACTGTCATGAGGGACGCAGAAAGAATGTGTTGTACGGAATTGAACACAGTTTACAAACTCCACATCTTATATATCACATATTTAGGTATCAGTGAAGTTGGGCTAGTAAATAGCATCGTTTTTAGAAAAAATGATAGCTTTTTCTAAGAGCAGCTGTGGATTTGAGAAATAATAGCATAAGTCATGAACCCAGGCAAGAGGGGGAGGGGCCGACCACTACAAAGATGGGCACATAATATAAGTGACACCGGTTAGGGATAAGTTAGTCTCCCCAAACAAAGTAGGTCACGTTTCATTCACAAGTTTGTTGGGCTGGTCTACTTTCCTGCAGGTTACGGGTGTGCCGCTCTGTTGCTTGCTTTCTTGGTTGTTTTGCATTTACTTTTTTTCTCCCATAAAGAAAATGCTTGTTACATCGGTTGCAGAACGCTTTAGCAGAATTGTATTAGACCCAGTCTGTCAATGTTTTTGGAGTGTTAAAACCGCTGGGGTGCTGAAATATACAACATGCGATATCAACAGCATTGCGGAACATCCCCCGTAACCTTGTGCCTAGATCACGTGGCTCAATGTCTACCAAACAGAAATGAGCTAGTGTGTATATGGGCGGGATCTGGGGAGCGAAACATTACTTTTACTGTGACCTCTTAGGTATGAAGATGCACGAGGCGGGAGAGCTGGTGAGAGACCCAGTTTCTTTAAGACGTGACTAATAACGTTCTGTATAGGACCTGCTTGGTAAAGAAAAACGTTATGGTAAAAGTGAGATTAAAGGACTGCAGTTTTTTGCACATATAGACAAGTGATATCAGTTGATGCTGATGTCAGTCGCTGCGGGGATAATATTTGGATATCGCATTCTGTATTTAGACTTCTCTCTTAGTGGAAAGATAACAGGAATTGGAGGGAGTGGGAGGGGGCGGTGGTCAGGAGCCATAGGGTTGGGGAAGGGAGTCCTTTGAGGAAAGATAACTCTCCGTCCGATAATAAGCATGTTTAAATTGTGACTAATTAAAGACTTTCTGAAATTATATATGTTAAACTGAATGATATCGCATCTCAGCTGTAAACCGCAAAAAAAAAAGAATAAAACAGGTTGCCAGAATCGCGCACTCGCAACAAGTGTTAGGATTGGGTCAGCTACCAAAAAAAGATCTACTAATACTTCCAAATATGAAGCCCTGTTAAGTGATGTCTCGAAAGGAACTTATCCGAATACATGTTCGTATTTCTAAGCCAACCGCTGACAAACCTCGTGTGGCGAAGGGCAGTCTTTAGAGCTGGTCCCACTGATAACAGATTTACAGTCACCCCAAGACATCGCCTCGCACAAATAGTGGT